AGGAATGTCAAATGGCGCCGATCTCATTGTGTGAGCTTAGGCAATAAAAGGTGCTAAATTCTCAGGACTGTAATTTTAACTGAGAAGTCAGTGTGTGCAAGGAGTTAGTTTACAAGATGCCAAAAGAGAATTCATGCTAATTGGCCCTCAGCTGCTTCATAAGAACAGCATTTAATCTTTTTGACCACGTCCTTCCCAAAGAGATGCAGATTCTGCAGCCTCTGTTGGCTGGTGATGTATTTGAATCTGGAGAAATGCCAGCAGAACTAATTTTGAGTGTGTGAGGGTTTAGAAAGCTGAGAGTGGTGTATTTTAACGCCGTGTGTAAGTAAACTTTATACCTTGTCTGTTGAATTCAGTGGTGAGCTACCACATTCATTTTTATTCTTGTTTCCTTCGACAACTGGAAAAAAATTCTTCAGCAATTTAATCTGGGAATTTCACTAATAGTTTTTAATACAAGGGGAAAAAATATTTTGAATTCTTGTAGGGAAGAGGTATTCACTTTATGAAAAAATACAGATGTTTTGCAGACTTGAGATCCTGAACAAAAAGGGGTTCAGAATAAATAACCTTATTAATAAAACATAAAGTCTGTGGACTTTTTTGCTAATACTAAGTGTAAATGAAACTTAGAATAAGTAATTGTAGACCTTGCTAGGTGGACGTGTTCATCCCATCCCATTCTGACTGCGGGGCTGCTGTCGGAGTGCAGGCTGATGTGGGCATCGCATCACATCACATCCCTTAACTGAAGAGGCGCTGTCTCAGCCTCTGTCTTCTCACAGATGGGTCAGGAGCGGTGGCCCAGCAGCAGCTGCCGACTGCACGTGTGCAGCGCTCCGTGGTTACAGCAGGGGAGCAGAGGGCGAGTGAATGTGGGGTTTGTGTTACAAAAAGAATGACTAAACTCCTAACTGTATGATGTGTTTTTGTTGTGGCCCAGATGATGATTTCCAGTTAATACAGAGGACTTTTATGGAGAAGCACTACCAGGAGTTCGATGACTCAGAAGAAAACAAGCTCATCTATACTTCTATTTTTAATGACTATGTAAGACACTTTTTCCTATTTTTCATATGTATTGTTTGTTTGTTTGTTTGTTTTTTTTAATTAAGCCAGGAGCAGGTCCTGTAATCCTCCCTTTATAAAATACTGGGTTTATGGAGCAGAGCCAACATACAGCCTGCTGTACTGCCTGCTGTCTTTTTCTGAAGCACAGTCATCATCTGTGAGCAAGAAAGATATTTTCTGGACCTCTAGGTTCCTTTCTCCTTGTTTCACCTGAAAACTTCTATAGATGTTTTGGAAGTTGTGTAACTCCCTTGAATAGAAATTTAGCCTATTGCTGTAGTAAATAGTGTGTTTAACATGTGTGCGTATCAAAGTCTGTTCTTTTCCAGTTGTATTATTTCGTGTATTGGACACTTTTGTTGAACACAATTACGTTCTTCATGCGAAGCATAATTAGGAAACTATACTAGCTTACTGGACAATACCATTACATGAGTTAAAAATAATTTGTAACTAGATACAAATAGTCAGTGTTTGTTCTCACCAATATTCCCAGCAAAAATGTTCAGCTCTGTGCCTCAGTGGTGATGTGAATACTTGAACTAAGGAAACTGCAGTTGTTTGCCCAGTAGGACAACAGAAAGTGTCTGTAAGGAAGATGCGCTGTTTTGAAATCTGCTCCTGACATTTGTCATGATGTTATAGGGGTGGTTGGTTTGGTTTGTTTCAGATCTCTTTAGTAGAGAAATACATCGAAGAAAAGTTGCTTGATCGGATTCCTGGTTTTAATATGACTGCTTTCACAATGTCATTGCAGTAAGTCTCTGCTTTGCTTTTGTTTGGGGGGCGGCTTGTGTGCCTCTCCATTAATTCTTTTTATCTAGATTAAAGCTAAAGTTTGACAGCTGTCTCTTTAGAAAGAGGTTCCTCTTTAATTATTGAAAAAAAAAAAAAAAAGTGTTCACGCAGGTAGTGACTGACCACTTTTCTTGCCTTCAGCATGTCCTGCTACTCTAAATTTCTGAACTGTCATGCTGAAATATTTTGGGTTTTAAGGGGTAGGAAGAGAAATCAGAATGAGAACACTGGAGGGTTTTCATAATCATTATCACTTTGAAACCAGACCCTTAAAAGCTTAGGTCTGGTTTATCCTTTCCAGGCTCTGTGTTAGACACTTAAGTAGCCTGGCAGTCATTCAAGAGTCGTGTGACAAAATGCCTTTATTGCGATTCTCGTACAAAGCTTTCAGAGAAGAGTTTGGTTTGTCTTAAGCTTTTTCATTTGGTCACTTTAACTTAACCAACTTCATGAAGAGATCACTTTTGAAAGATCACTGGTTTTTTCCCTTGAATAAGAAAATCAAGTGTAATTGGGAGCTGAATATCTTAAAATATTTGAATCAATTTAATTTTTAACTTTTTTTTAAAAAAGACATTGGGACGTTACTATGAATGCACATAGTACGCTTAGAAAATAGACTGTTTAAGGTAAAGCTCCTTTTGATAAGAATTAAATAATTAAAAAAAAAACCCCAAAACCAAATCTTGATGATTAAGAAAATCTTGTTGAAATATGCTCATATGGGAGCACAGAGTCTTTCTTCCAAAATGTTCTCATCAAAAGTCCCCTACCAAGTATCGTCAGTGCAGCCCCTCATTCGTGAGGAATGTGTACGAGCATTCTGTGCCTCTCCTCAACCTTTCTCACCTTCCAAGGGACCCTCTAGCTGTTGCAGTGCTCAAGATAAATAGAGATAAATGCCACTTTACTGTTACTTCTGTGACTTAAAGGTCAGTTTCTATGTCTGGTTTTCAAGGACTGATGTGATACTCTTAGGTCTTGGGTTTAGATAAATGTAATATATTAATGTACCTGGATTAGAACTACTGCAAGGTAGTGTTTGGCTGAAGTTTTGCTTTATGATAGACATTTGTGTTTAAATTTTGATATTGTTCTACTTGTCCCAGTATCCTTTTTGACCTCATACCATTTTAAAATAAAGAATTTTTCCCACACAATTTTCTAATTGCCCAACTTTTCTCTCTATAGACAGCACAAAGAGGAAATGGCAGGTGATATATTTGATATGCTTCTCACATTTACTGACTTTCTGGCTTTCAAAGAAATGTTCTTGGATTACAGAGCTGTAAGTATGTCACGTTGTTTATTTTCACTGGCATAATGGCTGTTGGTTTTGTGTAGCTCTGCCTGAGAGTACCAAAGGCAGTGTTACTACAGTAGGTAGCAGCATTTATTCAAAGGCTGTACAGGGTTGAAAGGAAAACAACTTCACTGAGTGGCTATTTAAACTCAAAATGCATATTTAATAATTTCTAGAAAACATGAATGAAGCTGGCATATGGAGCAGTTCTTCCAAAACACACGCTTTCTGCATCTTTGAATGTTGGTTTCCACCTGAACACAAGGGAACACATTTTCTCTGGGTGGGTCCCAGAACCCAGGCACAAGGTTGCCCAGAGAGGTTGTGGAGTCTCCATCCTCAGAGATACTCAGAAGGTCCTGAGTGGGGAGTCGGACCAGAGATCCCTCTTCCCACCTTGAGCATTCTGTGATTCCATGATACGGGTCTGTTTGTTTGGGGTTTTTTCTGCAGCCAATCCAAAAATAGCTTTTTAAGCTTATTCCATTTGTATTTCTCCTCCTCTCTATCTGGGCTGGAGAAACAAACAAACAAAAGTATTAAGGTTTTTGGATGAAACACGTGTAAACGCTCTCCAGTGTCTGTCCAGTCACATTTTAGAAAGGAGCAAAAGAGTCAAAATTGTTGCCACAATTATGTCCTCTGCCACCTCCCCCCACCCCTTTAAGTTTTATGAAAATAGGGGCAGGTTGAGGAGAAAGAGACAATCCACGTCTCAGAGGCAGGAACAGTTTCAGTTGAGGTTTGCACCTTGGGTTCACCTGAGGCAAGCCACAGAAGTTAGTTTTCTTTGTTCGTTCCTTGGGTCCTGGGTGAGCCTGCTGCTGGCCGTTCTTGACCAGAGGGAAACAAGGCTCTGCTCTGACCTCAACTACAGCCGGCAGAGCAACAGCAACCTTACTCTGCCATTTCCTGCACAATCTCTTCTTGAAGTTTGAGTTCACCTACAGATACAAATAGGAGAAAATAAATGCTCTACTAGGCATTTTCAAGGCTCGCAGCAAGCTGCGTGCAATTATTGATGCTCAGGTAACATGTAGTTTTATATTAATTTGATGTAACAAACAGAATATTAATTACCTGTTTCATTTTTTGAAGTACTTATTCCAAAACAGCATTGAGTCAAGGATTTCTTTGTCTTCCATTTTTCTAGGAAAAAGAAGGTCGAAGTCTGGATTTAAGCAGCGGGTTAGTGGTGACTTCATTAAACAAATCATCAATATCCTCCTCCTAGAACAGCTTGTGCACTATTTTCCTTCTCCAGAGGAGTGCTGCTGCTTCCATTTGGACATTAAAGGTCATGAGAATCAAGGTGCTTTCACACGATGAAAACTCACTCACCTGCAGAGGCCTGATCCGAGAAACGTCTTTGTGAGTTCTGGTTGCTGTTTGGTGACCACAGAAGATGACAATTTCAACTCTACCGGAGTAATTGTTTTTAAGAACTACACAGTATTTGCACACCAGCCTAACTGTTGCACAGGCTGAGAAGCCCAGCAGACTGAGAGGACAGTAAATAGGGCTGTGCGCAGGTTGTTTGGGTTGGTGTCTTCACCATCTCCCCAAAACACAGAACTTTTTGGAATCAAGATGACAGTGTAAAAAGAGTATGTCCTTCCAGCTCCTGGAAGGACAGGTGTGAATGCGTAACCTCCGAGTTCCTCCCCATCAATGTGTTGTTGTTTGGGTTTGTTGGTTTTTTTAAATACTTTAATATGATTTTAAGTGCTACAGCTTTCTAACGGAAGAATATGCTTTGATATGTAGATGTTCTACCATAAGATTGCCTCTCAGCTCTGACAGTTGATACGTTAGCGTGTAAATCTGTTTGCTCTCTGGCTTTTGTAAGTCTAATCCTTAACATGCAAACTTCTCTGATTCACTTTTGTTCAGGCCCCAGCTATTCCATGTTGGGAAAAATAACCATGATGACCTGAAATCTGTCCTGCGAATGCAATTTCTGACTTTTTTTTTTCGACAGAGGCACGGCTGCGTTAGTTCTAGGAGTACAAGCTGGATGGTAGGTTGGGCAGAGACGTGTTTACCACCATGTCATTTACAGCACGCCGTTAAACTGTTAGCGACGTGAGTGCAGCAATGCATTTTTCCAGCATCCGTTGAAAAAAACGGAGTGACGTGGTGGTGCAACTGTAGCCATAAGGCTGTGCATCTCTGTTGGCGGTTGGAATTAAACAGGCTGGTGAGCAGAACCCTGGGCTCTGTCCTGCCGCAGGGCAGATGCCCTTCCACAGCAGTGAAGGTGTTGATCGATGGCCATCACCTGATGAGAACCTACCCCAGACAAAGCAAAAATATGGCCAGGTCGGGACAAATTTTTGTTTGTGGACAAGAAATGTCTTACAAGAACAAAGGAGATGAAATCCTGTTGCTATTGATGTCTAGCAGTGATTTCAGCAGTACTGGGGTTTTGTTCTTCAGCTGAAATAGTTTTTGGAGACTAGTGAAGACTCCTAGCCGTGCAGGCAAAAATCAGCAATACTTGTACTACAAAACATGAGAAAATCAAACAGCACAGACCATAACAGCTTTTTAAAGGCTGGCTAGCAATGCTAAGTGTAGTGCCCTAGTATTGTCACTCTGTATACCAAATTTATGAGTGCTGCAGTAGTTGGTCACATTAGGTTTCTAGTATGTCGTGCTCATGGCTCTGCAGTTTTTTGTCTGCAATTATTCTAGTGTGTTGAAATCTCCTTCGTAAGTGCACACATCCAGATACATACACACACGCTAGCCTTTAAAATAAAAACAACCCGAATCTACCCCTTCAGAATAAACATTGGGTTGTGTTTTTACTACAGGCTCGATGCAGCTCCCCTGCCCTGTGATTCCTGAGGTTAACATCGGAGGAATACAAGGCTTAAATCTGGTTGGGTTTCCGACGTCAGTGTGTGGGCTGCAGTTCTTCCGTTAACTCCTTACCTCTTTTATAACGGTCACTTTTTCATGTCGGGAACAGATTTTATCAAATTTTAAAAGAATCCTGTTGATGTATTTTTATTGTTGAGCTAAAATAATTATTTGCAGCTAAAACTAAAAATATCCCGGTCATTTTTATTTTTTTTTAACTGAAAAAAAGGTTTCATTCTTTAACAATTGTTTCAATTAATTACTGAAAGTAATGGCCATATAAGTGAATACCGCAGGCAGTTATATTCTGAAGGGAGTTCTGTTGTATTTTAAGCAAGGTCTCCTGTCATTTCAGACACTACAAGGCATGGTTGGGGATGAATTCTTATTTTGACAGGGAACCGTATCTCGGTGTTTCCTGCAACGCCTTTCTGCCTCTGTGCCGCTCCCGTCTGTGTTTTCTGTGGGCTGCAGTTCCGAGAACTCATCCCCAGTTCGATGCATTTTCCATCAGGCAAAGGGGCTTTTTAAAGAGATTAAATTTCTCTATGTAATGGACTGTCGGTGTGCAAGGCTGACTTCATGTCATAACAACGCATGAAGAGGTTAATTTTCTTACTGATTTATATGTGTGTATATATAGAGATAGTTGTGGAAACGTGGCCCACCCTTTAGCTCCCTGAAAGCCAAAGGCAGGTCGGCCAGGGCCCGCCGTGTTTGCCCGCTTTTCAGTTCACACCTTCCATTATCGCACTTCACTTTCCTGAGCCTCTGCAGACAAGCTGCTAAACCTTTTCCCCTGCAGACCATGCCGTAAATTTTCCAGCATAGCTCGCTGTGCACCAGCTCTCCTGTGTAGAAATATCCGGAAATAAATTGAACTTGTTTCATTGTCATAACTTAGCTTGTGCGAGGAGGGTGCGACGGGCAAAGCTGCTGTGTCTGGCTGGGATTGGATTCTAGTTCTGACAACTGCCAGCCCGTGTCCCCAAGAAATAAAAGGTGCATTTATCATCTGCAGCGTGGTGCTGTGTTCTCCCGAGGGGCTGACCCTCGGTGTGTTCCCAGAGCATTTGCAGACGTAGCTTTTGAAGACTAATGGGCAAAATCGACTTGCCGGTTAATAGGCGTTCCTGTTAACTCCATGGCGTGTGCGGAGGAGGGAGGACCTCAAAGCCTTGGCACCTCTCTTGCGTGCCTGCAGTTTTGGATGTGTGCTCTGTGTAAAGCAAAGCACGGTGAACCCTGTGGACGAACCCCAGCGGGAAGGTACAGTCCCCTCTGCTCCGCTCCGTGCCGTACATAACACCTCCTCCCAGGACACATTGTTTTATTGACAGACTTCAGTGCTGGATTTAGGAAGATTTTTATTTAAAGCATAAAATTTGTGCTTCACGTTTTTAGAAATCAAGACAAGAATAGTTTAGACTTTTTCCTTTGCTTAGCCTACATCCTCCAGCTATGCTGCTGGTTATGTATCGCGTTATTAATTGCAATTACTTACACTGTAGCTACAAATGAGCAGAGACAGGAGCCTGGGCTTGGTTTAGTAAATTTTAGTGCTGGAGTGTGCCGGATTGGCTGAGCCCCCTCAGTGGAGCTGCTCCACTGGATGAACCCCAAGGACGAGTCCGTGTCCTCCCGGCGAGGCTGTCGGTGGCAGCGCCGGT